GCTAAGGGACCATAAAATAAGGAGGGGGTCAGCACTCAGCTGACACCTTGCTGCTCTCTCCCAGTATTACGTGCCCCCCTCGATCCCCCCCATCCCCCCCAGTTACGTGCCTGTCATTAGTGTTAATGATGGAAAATTGTCATGTTGGTACAACTCCCGCTCCCTCTCTCCTCTCCTCTCCCTCTCCTCTCTCTCTACTGTTTGTGGGGTATTGAAGGTTTTTTTAAGTTCTTTGTGAGCTAGAACCGGGCTGGACAGTGCAGTCGGGCTTGGCGATGGGGCAGACAGAATGCCTGGATGCTCTTTCCATAGCTGGGATAATTGTTCCTGCTGTGACCTTAACGATCCACAGTATGCCGAGCAAAGGCCCTCGCTGGAGCCGCGTGGCAGGGAATGCGGGGGTTAAAAAAAAAAACACATAATGAAGCCATTTTTCCTGATGGAAAAAGGCTAGCAAGGCTGCACCCGCAACAAAGACGACTCAATTATATGAGTAATTGTGATAATTTTCCCCCCATTCATGGGTCTTTCTGAGGAGGTTGGGGGGAACGGACGCAAAAAGGGGAGGGCAAAGTAGGGGCCGCAGAACAATGGAGAGCAAAAAAAGACATTTATAGCCACGCTAAAATCATAAAAAAAATAACAGGAACCAAGTACATAGAGAGTCACACGGTCATGTGACAGACACAAAAAAAGTTGTCACCCAAAAAGTATAAAAACAGGGAGGGGGGCAGACAAAAAAGTGTAAAGGAAGTCTGAGTATATTGGAAAGTGGCAGCACCTGAGATGTCGACAATAATCAGGCGTCGTACTGAATCACAAAAAACCAAGCTTCTTGAGAATCAAAAAAAAGGAGAGAATGAGCATTAAGAGAGCCCAAAAGAACGTCTGAGGGGGAACAAACAAAATAAAATAAGAATAATAAAGTAATCCAGTACCTTCCATTTTCTTTACACTGCAGGGCAAATTGTTAGACAGAACAAGAGCAGCGATAGTGTGGAGTGTATTAAACTGCGGGTGTTCACAAATATGAGGCACTCCTGTCTATCAAGCTTCTCCATTTGCAAAGCGCAGCCAGCACTGAAATTTCAGCTCCATTATGCCGGCGGACAAGAGAGACAGTGAGAGATTCATTACTGCTTTTTGTTTCCCAGTAGGGGTTGGATCCAACACTTCCTTCCCGTAGCCGAGACAGACAAGATTCCCCCGCGCACAGAGCAGCTAGCCTATAATTTCAATCGCTGCAGAAAAGAAATCAATGCGCTTCAGCGGTAATTGCCCCGCATGCACGTACACAAAGGTACATTAAAGTTCGGTCCGCTCGCAATCCGCATTTTCCGCTTTCATGCCAATCGGGTGGGTGGGTTCAATGCTTGCCGTCTCGGCTTCTGAGGTAAAAATTGATTCCCACATTTTTATGTTGTCCTTTGTTAAAGGGGAGAGAAGGAAAAAAATCTTATCAAAGTCACTTGCAGAGATGCAGTGATCCTTGAATGTAACCCTGACACACAGTGTGGCGAAAAGGGAGAAATTATAGTGCGTGGGGCTCCTTCACTGGCTATTATTTCCAGTGCAGTGCTTTTTTTCCACTCTGTAAAAAAATAAACTAATACCTGTTTTCACACCCAATATCTTACAAGCCCAGCCAACAGTTATGCTACTTCTTTTAAGGGTTGATTAGAGTCTCGTGGAATATCTTCTGATCACTTTGAGAGACGTGGGCAGATCGTGAAAGCAAAGGCTGGAATTTATTTTTCAGACTGCGGACATCTGAACTGTAATCAAGGAGACATTTCCTCCAGGTGGGGCGAGTGACATCACTGCTGGGAAGCTCCGAACGTGTATATCAGGTTTAAATGTCAACCGGCCGTCACTCCCACCTGATGGTGTTGCCTATAACGCAGAGAGGGGCGCCCGGCCTGCAGGTGGCGATGGCCTCATCCCGGCACCAACGGGCTGCCTCGACCAGCTGCCTCCCCCCCTTGTCCACCGCACCCACCAGGAAGGTCTCCGAGGTGTCTCCATGGTAACCATCCAGGTACACCTAGCAAACGCAGTGGGAACATGCAAAAAGACTGAGGTTCTCACCACAATGAGGCTACTCTGAGCGGATAAATAGTAACAACTAAAATAAATGTTACGTCAATTTGAATGGAAACTCCAATAAAGTAATATAGATGTTTGTTTTTCGACTTGATAGTTTTCTTCCTGAAATTCTGACCCTTATGCTTGATATGATGCTTCTCCAGAAAACAAATTACTGGAAACAATATCAGTAAAAAAAAAAAAAATGATATAAAAAACCTTTTAATATAGCTCTACATGCACTACAGACAATGGCTGACAATCTTAACCAAACACATGAAATTAATGACTGGGTTCAATGACAGCTTCTCCATAAACAGCAGCACTGAAGGGTTTTACATCATGAGCAGAATTAATGAAAAATGCATGACGGAGACATCCATGCGCTACATGCGTGTTATAACAAAGCAACTTGTTTTCAGCTGAACATGGCAAGTCAAAGCTTGCATGCACCGTGCGCACACTGTTGGATACCGAAACCTTCTCCGCGGTAACCATTTTTCATAACAGCGTATCCACGGCGAATCGTGAGCCCCTCCCAGGAAGCAAGGCCACGAGTCGGGCTACGCCAGGGACAGGATGCAGTTATAGGATTAAATTGCTGCAGCTGAATCTTGAGTATAACAGTATATACACGGCAAATTCTCAAACCTGCAGGGTGAGCTTCTGTCTGTAAAGGAGGATAACAGAGCACTCAGGATGGTGTGCTGCGCTACGAAGACTACAAACACGTAACAACCTGCACGTCCCCTCTGCACATTAGCATCACGCTGGGAGAGGTGCTTTATTTTGCATTAATCAGCCCACACGAGTGTCCCAAAGGGACTGGCTGTCCACCGTGTCCCTCTGTGGCAGACAACCTCATGCTTACTGCAACAAAGCACCTCCCAGAGTGCCACAGACACGGGGAGTCACGCGCAAAGGGCGTAGAGGGGGGGCCGTGACCATCAAGGACTTTAAAGATCCCGAGGAGCGCGGTGTGGAATCGCGACGGCCATAATTGAGGCCATAATGGGGGAGATAATGGGCAGGAGGAGGAAGATCAATCTGAAGTGAGGGAAGGGAAGAGGGAAAGAGGGGCCGGTCGAAGGCTATTACACGACCCTTTTGCCGCGACACAGCGCCACCAAGGGTCTACACTGGCCTGGGGGGGGGGGTCCGGCCACAATGGTAGCAGATTTGGAAAGAAGTGAGGAAGGAAGAATGGGGGTGGGGTAGCTAACCCCCCACAATGGACACGTGTGTGAACAGTGCAGGCATACCACACGGGCCATTGTGTGCGTGTGTGTGTGTGTGTGTGTGTGTGTGTGCGAGCGGGTATACCTATCCTTATGGGTATCCATAATGTGATAAATATCCATTTTTTTCCCTTATGGGGCCAGGAAACCGGTCCCCAAAAGGGAAAACTCTATATTATAAAAATCGGTGACTACTATGAAAAAATTAAAAATGCAAAAACTCTTGAATTTTGCTTGGTTACTTATGGTTATGGTTAGGGCTGGGTAGGGGTTAAGGTTGTCATAGTTGGTGTTAGCATTTTTCCCATAAAAGTGAATGAGCGGTCCCAATAAGGACACACACACGCACACACACACACACACACACACACACACGACATGTGCGTGTGTGCATGTATTCACCATACTGCGGGGACCAAATGGCAGAACCTGTTACTTTTTAGCTTATGGGGAAATTTTTCAGGTCCCCACAATATAAACCCCAATGCATGCATCTACCAAATTTCATAAAATTTGTAAATGCAATAAACAAAACTAAAATAGCCAAAGGTCTGTGGGTTATGCCCACAGAAATGAATGGAAAGTCCCCACAATGACAGGAATACATGGACTGTGCATGTATGTTTGTGTGTGCGCTGGATGAGAGAATACTCACTGTAACGTCGATGTTGATGATATCTCCATCTTGAAGGGGCCGGCTGAAACGCCGGGGTCATGCAAAACACAGAAGGAGGGAAGGTTCTCATGAGAATCCATGCGTAATACAAACACAGAATGCAGCAGACAGCTGCCAATTAGCGGCAATTTGAACAAATTCCTTTTTAACCATCCTCTGAGACCACAGAGATTATCGTCAGATCTGTATATTCGCTGAAATCAAATAAAATATAAAGGGTGGCCAAAAGGCAAGAAAAAAGATTATATCTCTAAGAGCAGGAAACAAACAGAGGTATTTCTGGTTCTCTAATCACACAGGAAAACTCCTGAATCACTCCATAATAAATGCAGCTCTTTCATACAGTTCAGACGCAAACAGATTAGATTCCTTTTATCAAAATAACATTAAGCAGCAGCAAGATATCAAAAAGTTTCTGATAAACTGTGCACCTGAACTCGCACCCTGGCCATGCAGCGGTCATAGGATGCTAAGCTTTGCAGACTCTCCTTCAACCATGTTCATGCATGAAGTGCCGAATGCAAAGCAACATCACAAAACTGTGCTAATTACTCTGAGACACTCATATTTCTCACTAGTGGGGGTGGGGGCACTTACTTTATGTGCCCATCTAAGTGAGTTAACAGCAGAATTTTGAATTAACTGCGGGTCTGCCCTGTCTGAATGGAACATTCCTCCCACAAAGTCACCACCAGACACCGTGGTAAACATATTTCAGCCCCTAACTGTGCCATCATATTTGCAGAAGGAAACCCCCAGCCTGGAAGATACAGATTGCAGAATGGGGGGGTGGTGAATGAATAAATGAATGAATGAATGGATGAATGGATGGATGGATGGATGGATGGATGAATAAATAAATAATGTTATGAATACCTGTCAGGTATACCGTGACATACCACATTGTTCACAGAGGTGCAGACTGATTTTGGAAATCCTCTATAATGCAAGGGAGATGGATAGGCATTGTTTCTGATCGCTTCTGTATGAACAATGAAGTCGATTTCATCAGTTGTCATGCCGACCTGCAAGAGAAGAGAGAGAGAGAGTGAGAGAGAAAACGCTAAGATGCGGTGAAAAATGTCATCAGGGGCCCAAGGCAGACCCTGCCTTCGGAGGTCTGTGCCATGGTCTGTTCAGATGAACTCTCACACAATGATGGATTTGTTGTTGAAAATAACTTTGTTGCTTCTATAGGGGGGGGAGGAATCTCTGGATCCGGGGGCAACTTTGGTGTTTACTGCGCACACTCTGCACTCTGGAGAATAAATCGCGGTAAAGTATGGCGGCAGGCCACAGAGGGCCAATGCAGCACAGCACGCGCCCATTGCGATGGGCCACTTTACCCTCAGCGTCAGACAGACAGACCCGTACACAACGCCAAACCATCACTGTAGGCAGGTTAACTGATACCAGGCAGGAAGGCACACATGTGCAGGCAGCCCACCCAATAACAAAAAAGCCAGCGGCATGCATGGACGTGTGGGCAGGCACAGGCAAGCAGGTAGTCAAACACACACACACACACACACACACACACCCCCACTGGGAGATGGCAGCCACGCACCCGTAAGCTGCCCCCGGCCAGGAGCAGGACGTGTCGCGCCAGCTGACAGGCCCTCCGCAGCCCCTCGATCTGATCGTCATCTTTAATTTCCATGTAGTCTCCCCAGTCGGGTACAGAGCCTGTCGTCACGTAGTCTGGCCTCACGATGTGCTGGTGGGGGGGGGAGAGAAGCGACATAGTACATGAACGGGAAGGCACAATGGGGTCGTTTACAGTATAGGAGAGAGCCTGTGGGGTGGGGGGCAGTCAGAGCACATCCTGAGCCATACTGCAGTCTACCTCAGACACCCCCTCCACCCCACCAGGTGCCTGTCGGTGATGCTGGGAAGAATCGCCCCGCTGTGTTAAAGCCACCCGGCACCAACCCTATGGGGACCTGCCAGGTCAGACAGTCAGGCTACAAAAACTGCTCTTTCTCATAAACTCTTCAAACATAATGACATATTAACGTAAATACAAATGTATGCATGTAATATATGCACCACAATGCATATATTACATATTTCTGCCACTGTGACACAGATACTTGTTTCTTTGAATAAATCCCAGCCCAGTGTAAGTGTCCCTGGACAGGGAGGGAATTTTAAAGCAAATTCATAAGGATGAAGTCCAAAAAACTCAGTCATTAATGCCATTAAGCAAAAAGGGGTGGGGTACTCTGCCCCGGTAGCGGCATCATGACATGCCTGCGAGCCAAGAAACTGTTCAGGATGTGAGGGAAAATAGCTATGGGTTATGTTTCCTCAGGGAGGTGGGAGCATGCATGCATCTACCAAAGGTGCAAGAAGAGAGCTATTACGCAGAATACCTCACGGTGTCCACAACCAGGAGCGATTCTGCAGAAGAACGGCCCAAGCTGCTGAGGTCAGACAGGACTAATCCAGAACCTTTGCAGAGAGTTCTAACCATTATGGTGAGGGTAGACCCACCAAGATGAAGCACCTGCCTGGTAGGTCAGGGCTGAACTAAATCTGGAACTGCATATCTTAGAACTTTTTGAATGTGAATTATTACACAGAACAGATATTTTGCAGAAAATGCTAAAATAATCATTTTAGTACTAGCATTCCACAGAGGGCGCCCCCTACTGGGCACCCACTGCTTCCACTGATAGGCTGCAGGCTCACCCTAAGCCTGTGCTGGATAAAGAGTCTTGGAAGATGGACATATGGAATCATTTTATTTAATTCCGAAACCTAAATTAATAGGTAAGCAAAAAAAAGAGAATAATAAAACTACATTAAACAACTATAATCCAGTATTGAAGTTCTAGATTTCACAAAAAAGAATGAAGTGAGACTCCTGCACAGCCTTGAACATCCCGGAAACCATCTCCTCAGCATGGACAAGCAAAACCAAAAACCAGACTTAAAACAGAGCTTTGAAAGTTCAGCCTTGAACATCCCGGAAACCATCTCCTCAGCATGGACAAGCAAAACCAAAAACCAGACTTAAAACAGAGCTTTGAAAGTTCAGCCTTGAACATCCCGGAAACCATCTCCTCAGCATGGACAAGCAAAACCAAAAACCAGACTTAAAACAGAGCTTTGAAAGTTCAGCCGGACCAAAGCACGGCACCAAGGTTATCCTGCAGAATGCAAACCTGTTTGTCCTTGATGGCCTCAGGTCAAAACTAACCTGAAACCCAAATCCAAAATTCAAACTTGATTCCTATTTAGCAAGACTTGAACCGCTGCCCATAAATAAATTGGGGAAAAAAGTTCCAAGCAAATTTCCAACGAGCAACAGCCAAAAGGAGAACCAAGCCGAGACCTGCTCCTGCAACCGATGCCAAAGGTGCTCTGAACATCAAAGAGGAGCTGACAAGTTAAGGTACTTATGCAACAAACACCCCTCTGCATTTATTCCTCATTCACAGTCTCCATTTCCTGTGATTCACATTTCAGGACTTTAAATTATAAATGTTACAAACCTCAAAAAAGTTAGATCATTAGAAGGTTACGGGTATCTGCAGAAGTTACTGTCTACAGCTGAGCTGCCACTGTAATTTGGGAGACATGCAAAAAATTGACGGCTGATATGTTATGTCTGCAAGAGCAATAGCAGGTTTGCATCATCTTCTGCAAAAGCTGTATGGTGGGAAAGAGCCTGTTTTTCATGCAATCCTGATCATTGGTGTCTCTTCCTCCCAGATAGGGGACATGATTTAAAGCTGCCTGATCCACTCCAGGAGATTTCTGGCAGAGCATTGACAAATTCGGGGTCTGTTGCTGCCGCCCGCTCCGGCGTCCTTAGCCCCACTGGGTATGATTTGGAGCCAGGCCTTGCAGCAAACGACAGCCCTTTGATAAAGCGCCGCACTCTGACTCCTCTATGATGTAATGACATTTCACCTGTGATTTCTTGTTGCACTTTGTGCAACAAAAACAGCACAACACAGAAATTACAAGTCAACGAAAAACAAAGTAGCACCTCAATCTGTTTTTTCATCACTTCTAAATCTGATCCTTAAAAAATGATGAACTCTGCTCTAATGTGCGTCATACTGTTTTGTAAGAATTCTGAGAAAAGTAACATTTGTGTCTGTATTACTATTATATATAGAGAGAACTGTCATGAATGTATTTATGGTCATTGGTAGCTGAAGTTGGATCCTTGTCATCTGTTTGCTGTGATGTACTGTCTGCCTCACTGGTAAGTTGCTTTGGACAAAATTATCTGCTTAATAAACTAGATGCTGCTGGAACATCAACAATGTATCCCCAGATGATCTCGGCACCACCCCCCACCACACTATCCTTTAGCGATATTTTCAAAAGTAATTCTATTCCAATATTTTGAAATTAAGCAGGGGGTCCCCAACGACAAAATTTGGGAAGAGAAATTGTAATACCACCCAAGCCTACCCTACACATTCTCCCCACCTTTTCAAAAATCTTTATTGAAAACCCAGCTTTGTGTGATTTGTCTCAACAGAGACAGGTTCACCACATCTGCACCTGTGGCTGTTCTTTCATGTGCTACTACTGACTAGGTGTAAAAGTGATATTACTAAATTCCTCCATGATAAATTTCACTGTATAACAGACTGCTACTGATAAATTTTGACAAACTGCAGTGGAAAAAAATTATTAAATTTTTGTTAGGGTATTTGGCAAATAATCCTGCAATCCCTCCCAATTATTTGGCTCTGCACAGTTTGAGAAACACTGGCCTGTACCAGGGACGTCACTAGGGTTGAAAGACAAGGGGGGGCTTAGCCCCCAGGGTTGTAGGAAGGAATTAGCGCGTATAGAGGGCAGAAAATTTTTCACCAAACCTAAACAGGCTTCTTTAATTTTATTATCTCATTCATCTAGAAGGTTCCACCCTGAAGAAAACGACAACAACAAAACAAATAATCTCTTTAAATGTAAACCTCCAGTTTTAATCATGCACGCTCCCTCAGCATCAGCTCCCCTGCCGCTCTCCTGCTTCTCCCTCAATCTTTCAAAATACTTTTGTATATCCATCTGGTATATAAACTGAACTTCAGTGTCCCTGTTTTTGCTGTTGTAAAAATATATCCACTTAATGTCTCCTTCTGCAGCCACCCTTTCCTTCCTTTGCTGCCACCTAGAGCTGCCTCAATTTTGGGGGGATTAGTCTCAAAGATGAAATCAGATTTAAATGTTCATACATGTGTTTTTGTGAAGCGGTAATAAGATCAAATCCACAACAATACAACCATAAAATACTTTTTGAGTTATTATGTTCCCAAGGTCAAATGACTTCTGAGGTCGCCCATCCTTCCCTTTACTGCTACTAAGCGGTGTTGCTTTAATTTTCATGCGATTTATCTCAAAATGGTAAGAGGTCCGGTCTCATACAATGTGCCTGCAAAGGTTGAGAAACATTTACTTTTTGAGTTACTGCGGTAACAAAATCAAGTGTCTGAGGCTGCCCTTCTCATCTCTATAATTGTGCAGCACTGCTTTAATTTTGGTGTGATTTGTCTCAATATTTATTCACTTCCAGATATTTACTCAAATAACGTATCTGCAAAGATCCGTCAAATAGTTTCTATGTCTTCTGTAGCCGCCCCTTTCTTCCTCTCTTACCACCTAGCACTACTTCTTCGATTTTGGAGAAATTTGTCTCCAAATTCAGATGTAGACCTTCATCCATATAATGTTTCTGTGAAACAGTAATAAGATCCATCAAATAATATTGACTTATCACATCCAGAAGTGTCATGTACAATATTTGAAAAAAATCCTTGAAATACTTTTTTTTTCTTTTCAGTATGCTAGTAGGATCAAGTGTCAAAAGTGCCCTTTTCTTTACTATCACTATGTAGTGTCGCTTCAATTTTAGTGTGATTTGATCTGTTGCAGTTTTCCCTCTCTGCAAATTCCTCTGCAAAGTTTGAAAAAGATCAAATACTTTTTTAGTTATTTTGCTAACAAAATCAAATGTCTGTGACTGCCCTTCTCTTTGCTATCACTATGTTCTACAACTTCATAATGACTTGTCTCAAAATTTGATCACTCTTGGACATTCATACATTATGTCTGTACATCTGCAAAGTTTGAAAAAGATCAGTAAAACACTTCTTGAGTTGACAAAAAAGTGCTGGTAGTGGACCAGCCCTAAAACCATATGTATTCCCCCTGTGGGGAATACCATAAATTTTGATGTAAAGGTAAGTGAACTTGATTCGTCCAACCCAGGAAGAATAGATTGTCCTGACAGGAACATTTCATGGTGACTAGAGGCTACATATGAAGCATGAAGGATAATGAAAGAAAAGGACATGAACGACCACATGAAGACACCGCCATGAACCAACGAGACATCCACATTCTGACTGGCCACATCCTCGCTGCTTATCCTCACCTTGGGGACAGGGTAGGGGGGTTTCACCTTTGCTGGCTGAACCACGCTGTGGGAGCTCGACTTCTTCCTCCAAAAGAAGGGGCGACACGGGGGCCAACGGGCAAGCCATTCACCTCGCACACTGGACCAGGGGCTTCTCTGAGCCAGTGCCACGCATCCTGGAATGGGAAGAGCGAGCAAACACACCCATTTTAAAAAATGTATTCATTTTACAAGCTTCATCTGCTAATATCCTTAGTCTTACATAGCATTGCTATCTTGCTGCATAATAACTTCATGCAATGGCAACAGGAATGAGACAAAAAAAAAAGTTAGCACTTAGTTTGCAAGATGTTTGTGGTTCCACTTTGTGGGTCTGACTTTCCTGCCTTGCCTTACAGAAGGTGCCCACATCAGTTGGTGCACGGGGGGGGGGGGGGGGCACCATATCAGGCAGGAGAGGGAGGTGAGGTAAGAACAGGGCTCTCCCTGCTGAGGGACCATCTCCCCTCATGTTTAAAATTAAGTGCAGCTGCAGGGTGCTGGTGCTGGGCTGGGGGTGGGGGGGCGAGTAATCAACGGTGGGGATATGGGGAGAGTGACCTCAGGGATTGGGGGTGGGGACCTGTGATCTCACAGGGGCAGTCAAGGCCCCCAGAGACCAAATGGGGCAGGGACATCCAGACACTGTGCAGGCCTCCCCCTTCCGGGCCAGTGAATTAACTCTTTCACCACAGATTTCCACTCTATCGCAACCCCCCCCCCCCCCCCCCACCCAAATCCCCCAATCGCCAGCTTCTTGGTAACGCAGCCCAATCACATTGCAGGATCTGCATTTCATTGCCTCATCAGTCTTGGGGAATATTAGTGAGAAACACCGTGAGCTAGAGAGCACCAGCTTTTTTGAGGAATGCAAACATGAAGTCCTGGCTAACAGGGGGACAGCGAACCACATGGTCACCCACACCCGGCTGGCTGCCAGATGTCAGCATTCAGGGGTGCCTGGAGCTCTGTCATGTCAGGTGAGGTGGGCGCAAGGAGGAAGTTAGGGCCCACCCCCATCAATGAAAGCAACATACAGGAAGCCACCACCATCTCTCTTAGTGAGAGAAACCAAAACTGCCCAACATGAGTGTAAGGAGTATGACAAATTTTACACATAATTCAGGCCCAGGTCCATGTTTTCTCTGCAGGACAGTCTGCACCTGCCTCTGAACTGACTGTGCTTTCTTACCATCAGTCAGTCCTGCAAGGAGACACTGAATGCAACACAATAATGAGGGAAAGCTGGAGGGGGGCATTTCTGCTTCAGTTTGACTCAAAGCGTGACCTGAGGCTTCATCCAAGTTCCAGTCAGAAATGATAAATAAGTGATATATGACCACATCTTATCATGCAACTGTTTTTATTTACATAGCACATTTAAAAACAACAAATGTTGTGTCACGATAAAATTTAAATGAAACAGAACCAAAGGGAATAAATGTAGGTTTTTAAACACTATTTAAAAGTATGGATGGTTGGGGACTATCTCACATACAATGGAAGGGCATCATGCAACCAGTGAGGAGCAAAGGCAGGGTCGCTGTTAGATTTCAAACGTGCATGCGGAATGAACAGTAATTGCTGATTGGCTGACCTAAGACCCAGAGAAGTAGCGTAACTGTAATATGTACTTGCCTTAAAAACAAATAATAAAACTTTAAACTCTGTTCTGAACTTAACAGGCAGTCAATGTAATGCAGCATAAGGGAAATTGAACAAGCTGAAGCCAGGAAGCCAGGATTTTTTGTAAGCTTAGGTACAGAAAATTGCAGTAATCTATTTGGAAGGAGATAAAAGTTACTGTCTCCAAGTCTTGGGGTGAAAGGCATGGTTTAAGCCTGGCTATTGACTTTAACCAAAAGAAACTCCCCAACACAACAGTATTAATTTGTTTCTCAAACTTCAATAATGAATCAAAAATGACACCAAGATTTTAGCACGATTGGAAATTGTCTGAAAGAGGTCCTAACTGTTCCCTGACATCCCTAATAGAGCCTGAATGACCAAAACAAAACTAAGATGGAAAAAAATCATTGTAATCCACTTCTTAATATTGTCAAGCCAGTTTGAAAGGGCTAATCAGAGAGTAGCAATCACCAAGTTTTAAAGGCAGACAGAGTCGTGTGTCAGTGGCACAGCAATGATATTGTATATTTAACGTTCACAAAAGCATAGAGTGAAGAGGAGAGGGCCTAAAACAGATCCTTGTGGTACCCCACACCCAAGAGGAGCTGATAATGAAATGTATTTACCTATACTGACTGAAAAGACCTTCTTTCCACGAGCTAAGCCATTTTAACACCGTTCCCTGGAGACCTGCAACACAACTAAGATGTGTATATGAAGATATCAAGAGGGATGTTGTGGTCAACAGGATCAAAAGCTGCCCTCAGATCAAGTCGAATTAAAACTGAAGATGATCCGCTGAGAACAGACAGCAGCAAGCTCATTTGTCACCTTGAATAAGGCTGATTTAGTACGGTGCACTGACCTGGAATCAGATTGAAATTTATCAATAATGCTATAATGCTGAAGGTAACTGGAGAGCTAGGAAAACCATTTCCCCCAAGATCTTTGACAGAAAAGAAAGTTTTGAAATTAGTCTATGTGAAGAACCACTTTGGTACACCTCTTGTCTGACTGATACAGTGGTGGAATGGATGAACAAAGGTCCCAGGTCTGAAAACAGTCACAGAAAAGTTTGCAGACACAGCCTCACATCAAGCTGCAGAGTTTGCGAAAACCGAAACACTGCTTTAAGTAGCCTTCTCCAATTAAGGTTAACAGGGTGATACCACTGAGACAGTCACGGATGGGACAAAGAAAAAACAGAAAAGGTTGGATGAAGGTGGTTATGGGCTGCCCCACCAATGCAGTCACATGACCTTCAAGAGAGACAGCGAGTGGACACCCAGGCGACAGGAATGCAGTTGTCGATGGGCAAGTCTACAATTGGTCTATTCTGTGACCTATAATGTAAATAGTGTGGATGACAAGCAATCCTCAGAGCAGCAAAATGCTTAAAAATCTCATAAGGCAGGCAAGTCCAGTTGTTCAAACGCTCAAGGTCACACACCAAATAAGACAAACCCATGATCACACGACTACAAAATCCCACGGACCGACAAAAATCAGGTGGCCAAATAACACACCACGAACAGAGATCCAAAGGACACTACAAGACTGCAAACCAGACTACACGTTTTTAATGCCCATAAAGAGACTGTACACTCAGCCAGGTTGACAAACCATGTTAGCAACAGACTGCCAAACACACCCAGAAATTAGTGCTGTGCAAAGAAAAATAGCAAAAAACTTCTTCACTCAACAACAACACATTAACCAAAAGACCTGATGAATAAGAAAGTGGAAAACTTACATGGAGAGCAGTCAGGGCAGGTGAAAGGTTCACGTTAGACTGGTGTTATAGTCCAAGGTAGAGACAAAAATCCCAAAGTGGAAATTAATCCAATTTATTAATCCATGATCATACAAGTACCATGTAAAGCCGAAGAAAGACACACTGATAAAGTGTTTAAAACATATAAAAAAAATAAAACAGCAGCAGACATTAATTCCAGCATTTCACTCAAACCGGATGTGTGCGTTTTCAGTGGCAGTGAGAACAACAGTGATCCATCACTGACTGAATAAAGCGCCCAAAGTCACAGACCCCCTCATCAGTAATGACTTCAATGAAACATTTCCTATGTCCATAGATCAATCCGACGCTTCAGTTTACAGATCCTTCAGCCAACTCTCACTTACAGAACTGCCTTAATACCACAGAACCCTGCTGTATTGGGTGCCTTGCATTTGGGGTGATTTTTATTTCATGTCTGAGGAAGAGTAGTAATGGCGTTGATTTTTGGCAGTTTGCACGAAGTCTGCTTGAGCGAGGGATTCCCGATTGCCAAAGTCTTTAGAGATGGATTTCCGAGCCTGTTCCAGCCTGACCAGCATCAACAGCTCTTTGTGACTTCTGTGAAATCTCTTTTGATCAGGAAGTGATTCACTTTCCACAAAGTGGTGTCATAAAGAGTACTTTCTTATGATAAATGCTAGTATATATATTTTTAAGGAGGGAAACCCCCTCAAACTCAAACCAGAATCATCTCCTTGACTGGACCATTATTGCTTTATTAAGTCTGAGTACTATATAGATTTTAATAGTTTTTCTTGAAATACACTTCGGAAAGGGAAAAAGTACTATTTACAGGGCCTTAAATCTATTTCTTTTATATTAGAACTTACATAAAGTACTACAGATTAAACTACAGACACAGACATTTCTCTGGAATCTTTCCATGAAGACTCTTTTCATTAAAACGGTAGTTTTAATCAATATTTTTTTTTCTTGAAGGCCTGTGGCAGAGAAAGCACACAGGGAAGGGGGGGAACGTGAAGCAGACCATGCCGCCACTTAGCCGTAATGTCGCTAAAGATGCCATGGTGGCTCTAGGACAGACGCCCCCCCCCCCACACAGGTGGTTTCACTGAGCTGACAGTCTGGACTCCATGCACTCTGTGTTGTGACATATGACTCCCATGATTATCTTCAAAATTACCTCCCAGTTGTGCCACAGTAGCCCTTCTGTTGAGGGAATAGCTTTTGTTCACATCTCATATGGATGAGTCCTGGCTTCCCAGCACGCTGTCGCTGCTTCGTGGTTTTTCCCTCCCCAGACCCTCTCAGTAGGTACCCCCCCCTCAGCTGACCATGAGCCTTGCCATTTTGGAGATGCTCTGAGCCAGTCGTCTGACCATAATGATTTGGCTCTTGTCAAAGTCATTCAGATCTTTATACCTGCTATTTCTTCTGCATTCAATATGTCGGCTCCAAGTACTGAATGTTAGTTTACAGTCAAATACATCCCAGGCCCAACATGGACCACTTTTTGTGAGAAGTCCCGTAAAAAAGCAAACTATGCATGTCATCCTGGGTAAATGTATCTAACTAGTGAACAGAGTAATTTTTATACAGAGCCAACTATAAATCTAAACATTAAGTATAATGCAAAAAAAACCTCACAGAACCTACAGAATATCGAATAAGCGCACAGAATTACGCGTATTACTCCTTCCGATGGGTTACAATGCAGAATTGATTCATCCCGCTGCTCAGCTCTCACAC